AACAACTCATGAGATTTTGCTAAAACTCAAGGCGTAGTTTGTAACGACTCCTTTTGGGTTATACGTGTCGCCTTTAGTTGACTAATAAGGTTGAGATTCATCATTATGCCAATTTTATGAAAAAACTTGAAACAAAGCAGAAACCAAATGGCATAGTTCTTGAACTGACCGATTTACCAGGAATCCATAAGAGAACACAAACCAATTTAAAACAATGGACATGATGCCGATCCCTCATTAGAATCTCGACTTCAAAGACTACCATTCGCAAATTGATGGCAATCCTCACAAACCCACAGAATAGTCCCTAGTGGTTTCGACCTCAACAGCGCAAAATGCTATAATAGAACCTCTCACTATGCATCCTGAGAAAAACCACTTTCCCACTTCACCTTCATGCACTAAAGGGGCCTGTGAAAAATCCTAAACAAACCTTTCAGTTTTCAGTCTCCCTTCCATCACATTCCAAAACGCACAAACCGCTTTGGTGCATGGATGAGTCATGTCCCCTGCAAATAAACCATGAGAATGCTATTAATCTCGACTGAAATACAACCGGGAGCATTAGTCACGCCTTTATGGCTCATTAATTTTTGAACTAAACAAACTTCGTCCCATCTATTTGCAGACTCGTGTGCTTCTGAGAAGAGCACATAATCTCTACTGCTCACATTTCCAGACTTGTGAGCTTCTGAGAGAAGCACATAATTTTCTCGCTCAACAACCCAACATTTGTAGTACTTCTTGTTAGCCATGTGTTCTGTCGCCACAGCTCCCTGACCAGCACATGCGTTAATCACACTCTGCATCATGTACCCATCCGAGCCGAACAATGTGGCCATCTCAACAAACATCCTCACACCCTCATCCTACCCATCCATTTGAATGAGCCTGTCTATAATGGTGTTAATGTTAGAGTAGAATACTCGGTGTTCCAATCTGATTGGATATTTTTCTAATTGTAAAGACAATTTATTGAAATTATTTTGAGGCATTGTTTTTATCTTATGTCTTTGCATTTATCACATATTTGCACATATGATAAATTCATTAGATTATTATTAGCTATGAAGCATGGTTGCGCATTTGATGGTAATCATGGAACATGTATTTAAATCTATGATCTTGAATAAGTTCTAAGTCGATGGGTGTTTCGAGACAGGATATTGAATAACTTGGTAAGTCTTATGCATATGATGCATGCTCGTCGAACGAGGATGTTGCATTCCATCAATATTAGCGTGTGGACGCAAATGTATATACGCGGGTGCTTGTTGGGGAACAAATTCACTGAACATGACCTGATAAAAATTCTTAGCTGGAAGTTTTTAACTGTTGAATAAGAATTTTCATGTTGCAATAATACATGACTGATCCTCTGACTTGAGGCACGATAGTAATCTTGTGCATGTTGTGCTTTACTTTGATTTATCCTTTGATTGCTGGACAATCATAAGAGGGATATTTTGGGTACTATATTAATGTATATAGAGGTTATTTGTGGCAAACATAGAATTCGACACTTGCGTGGATAAGTGAATTTCCTACGCTTTTCATAATTTGTGATTTAAAGACCTTGACCAAGGCGGGATAAATATGGAATTCATAAAGGAATCACTAATCTTGAAATAAAATTATAATTATTAAATAAATTGGGTTTCGACTTATAAATCCATGCCCAAGATTTAATCAGTAAATTAGTTGTCAAAAGGATTTTACATGTATGCACTTGCAATTGAAAATGTTTACTCGTTATTTCACTTAACACTAGATAATCATGCTACTTGCTAGGTGTTACCATGATTTGTGGGTTCTTGAAATTAAGGAGTTGATTTCAAGAATATGAATTAATAGATTGATCAAATTACAAATGAATTGTAAACCCACTACTAGTGTTAATAGTGAACCTAAAAGAGTCACACCAAATTTTGGACTCAGAATGAACTACTAGTGGTGGCCAGGTCTTCGAAACTTTATTATCCTTCAAAGCAGAGCCCAACAAAGTTGCTTCCCTCAAGACTGAAAAATGAGCACTGACAGAAACTGTTGTCTGTCCTACTCCTAAAACAAAAGGATTAGCCTAGGTTCCAGCAGCTCCATTGTCAACAGGGGCATCAAGCTGAACTGAGGTCTTCAAATAAGCAACTTCCATCCAGCCACCTCTGGTTTTTTCAACTACTTCCAATTCATGGAAAACATTACCATTGAACAACCAATTGTTTCTTGCCTTCCAAATATTCCACAACAGATATGCAGAGAGAATAATCTTGTCTTTCTGATTGGCCTTGTGGATAGAACAATTCTCTTCCACCAGAACTTGAAGTTCAAGTCTTGTTCTTGCATCATATATATATATTCCATTCCAATCCCATTAACTTCCAGTAGACTTTTGACTTGCAACACTTGAAAAAAAGATGTTTAGTATCCTCCACCTCAGCTCTACAAAGTGTGCAGATCTCATTAACCCCCATTACTCCCTTCTTCAATTGGGCTTTAGTGCTCAGAAAACCTTGGAAGATCTTCCACATGAAGTGTCTGAGCTTAGGTTGAATAGGCAATTTCTAGGACTTCTTCCACATAGTTTCTTGTTTATCCACACCAACTTTAGAAGTCACTGGGCCCTAATTGGAATTTTTATGAGCTATAATAGTCTCATAAACAGATATGATAGAGAAAACCCCATTGGGACTGAAATGCCACACTAACTTGTCTTTTCTACCCAAGTGACTAATATGGATTTTTTACATGGACTGAACATCAAAAGGGTTGAAAGTTTGGGCAAAGCAGCTCTAGATCCCCGTCACTTCCCCAAGGTTTTATCAGCTCACACACCCTAACTAATCTCTCAGTATCCCCTTGAAACTGCACATCAGGTTTAAAAGATGTTCTATTTGGAATCCAAGAGGAGTTCCAAATTTCTTTTACTCTCTCATTCCCTACCTGAAATGAAATTCCCTTTTTGAAAGAATCCCTGGCAGTAAGTCAACATTTCCACATCAAAGAGTCCCCATCTTTTTTCCTAATATCCAGTAATCTCTGGTTAAAGAAATACCTGCCTTTGATGATTCTGCTCATCAGTAAGTTTGATTGAGTTATTACCCTCCTACGTTGCTTAGCCAGTAAGGCCTCATTAAAGGCAGCTAGATTTCTAAAGCCCAGACCCCCAAATCTTTGGATTTAGTAAGCTTATCCTAAGAGGCCCAATTGATCTTGTCAGCCCTTGAATCAAAATTTCCCCACCAGAAAGAGGCAAAAGCTCTGGACGAATCCTTATACAGAGAGTTTGGCATTGTAAAGCAAGACATCACATAGACAAGCATAACCCATAACAGAGATTTTACAAGAACTTCTTTCCCTTTCATCAGACAGAAAGTTATTTTTCCAGTTTTTTTATATTTTTTCACACACTCACTCACATGTCTGAATGTGTCTCTCTTATATTTCCCTATCCCAAGAGGAATCCCTAAGTATTTGGCAGAGTCAACAATAGACATACCATTCAAGGCCAGACTAATATTCCTCATAAGATTTTGATCATAATTTTTAAAAAAGAAAACAGAAGACTTCTCAAAATTGACACCTTGACTTGAAGCAGAGCCATACAAATTTAGGATATTCATTAAGATTTGAGCTTGGTCAACGAGAGTTTTACAAAATAGATTTGCATCATCAGCAAAAAATAAATGAGAAAGAGAGGTAGAATGTTTACTGATTTTCAACCCAACCAAGCTAGAGTTCAGACAAGATTGATTTAACAAATTTTAGAAATCTTCAGTCACCAGAAGAAATAGGTAGGGAAAAAGAGGATCTCCTTGGTAAGACTTCCAGAACGAGTAGGTAAGGAGAAAAAGGACTCCATGATTTGGCTATTGACATAAAAGAGAAAGAGTACAGATACAAGCCATAATCCATAATCTAGGAAGTAAATTTATCCCAAAACCTATGTGCTGACATATTCTAGTAAGAAAATTTCACTCTATCTGTCATAAGCCTTGGTCATATCAAATTTAACACCCATAAAACAATCTTTGCCTTTTCTTTTACTATTAAAGAAGTGAATACATTCATTTGCTATGATCACATTATCCAAAATTTATTTATCAAGAATAAAAGCAGATTAAGACTAAAAAACACAAGAATTTAAAACTATTTCAAGTCTGTGTCCAATGATTTTAGCAATGATTTTAAGTTTAACTGAAATAAAATTCTCCAAACACGCCCTAGGACTTCCACGCCCTTATTTGGCCCTTTTGGCTCATTCGTCATCCTTTACCCCTTCTCCACCCCCACACTACCCTTCCCTGTTTTCAATAGATATCGCCAAAGACCCTTCTCCGCATCCCGGACTCCCAGCCGGCCCACTCCGCCGGAATTCGCGCTCCCTTCAACTACATTCCGCCTCTCACTCTTCGATATTTTCTATAAACCCTATCCCTTTCACTTAATAGCACTCTCGCCCACTTCAGTTTTCCTTCCTTTTTTTTTTTCTTTTCCTTCGAGATAATCGGGTTTCAGTGAGAAATTAAAAGAAGAGAAAAATGGGCGTCGATTACTACAACACCCTGAAAATCTCGCGAGACGCGTCAGAGGAGGACGTCAAGAGATCGTACAAGAGGCTGGCGATGAAATGGCACCCCGACAAGAACGCGGTGAACAAGGAGGAGGCAGAGGCCAAGTTCAAGCAGATAAGCGAGGCGTACGACGTGCTGGGAGACCCCAGGAAGAGGCGGATCTACGATTTGCACGGGGAGGAAGGGGTGAAGGCCGGCCTGTTCTCGAGGGAGAGGGATGCAGCGGCAGGGTTGAGGGGTTTCGGGTTTGGATTTGCCCCGAGGACGGCGGAGGAGGTATTTGAGGAGTTTTTTGGTGGGTTCGATTTCGTGAAGGAGCGGAGGAATGGCGGTGACGCCGGGCTGAAAAAGGCGGCTCCGATGGAGAGTCAGCTGCCGTGTAGCTTGGAGGAGCTGTACAAGGGGTCCAAGAGGAAGATGAAGATATCGAGGATTGTGCTCGATGAATCCGGGTGAGTGAACAAGTTTTAATTTTTATTTTAGTATTTCTAATGATAGTTTCAATTTTAATGGATTGGAAGTTTGAATTTTGAATAATACAACTCATCTAATCACTTGTTTTCTTATTTCCTTTTTCTTCTTGGTTCCAAAAGTTTTGACTTACTCTAGAGATTGACTTGAGTTGATTGAACAGTGAAATAAATTTGAAATTGGATAGGACCCCTTCTGGGCGTGGTCATCTATGTCCATACGTTTTGGTGTATAATAAACTAGGAACTCATATGCTAAATAACAAACAGTATAATAAAGAGTTGATTTTTGGTGATCAATTGAAACATTAGAGTTGAAACAAGTTTCTTATACATGATTTTTATCTTGAATTGGTTTGCGTACTCATGGTGTCACGATTAGATTTACAAGTCGGCTTTTATCTTCTGTCACAGGATACAATGCAGGTTCTTTGTTAACTTCATCATCCTTTTTCTAGTTATTGGAACTGAGTTTAATATGTTTTCTGTTAGTTTTCATTTCAAAGCATAGATATTGATATATGAATGTTTTATTTTGCTTGCTTCCTGATATGAATGTACCAGAGGTAAATCAGGACCTATAACCTATATTCATGAGACTGAGTTAGAAGTTTAGAGGAATCTTTCTGCTTCTTGGGCATAAGGGCGACCTTTGTATTGATTTTCACTTTCATAAGTGGCTTTTATATGCTGCTATGTCTCTATATGCAGTAGTTAAGACATCATTATCAAAGAATGAACCACATAAACTACACTCCCATATTCAGCTGTGATAATAAGCTCTTGGTGCTGGCAGATATGAGCATGCACTTTTCACTTTCATAATGGCTTTTATATGCTGCTATCTATCTGTATGCAGTAGTTAAGACATCATTATCAAAGAATGAACCACATAAACTACACTCCCATATTCAGCTGTGATAAGCTTTTGTTGCTGGCAGATATGAGCATGCACTTTACTGTTTATAATGCTCGCATGCTTCAACCTAAAAAATAACCTGATGGAAATACAAAAGCCCAGTTATCTTCTATACTCACAAATTTACTACCTTGAGATAGATTATAAAATAAATTCATAACCACAACACAGGATTTGTGATGGGCTTCAGGGTTAATTTTGAAAATTAACTTGGGCTGCTTTGTAACTAAGCTGAGCTGCAGGGGTAGCGTTCGTCATAATCCATTAGTTAACATAACATCATTTAGTCTCTATTTTGATGTGCCTATTTATAATTTATTTGCAGTAAGCCTGGCACAGTTGAAGAGGTCTTGTCCATACACATAAAACCTGGCTGGAAAAAAGGTACAAAGATTACTTTTCCCGAGAAAGGGAACCACGAGCCCGATGCTGCCCCTGGGGACCTCATTTTTGTTATTGACGAAAAACCCCATCCCGTTTTCAAGAGGGATGGCAATGACCTAATTGTCTATCAGAAAATCTCGTTATTGGATGCTCTCACAGGAAAGATTCTCAATATAGCTACCTTGGACGGTAGAGACATACCTCTTACATTATCGGATATCGTGAAACCAGGTCAAGAAGTGGTGATTGAAAATGAGGGGATGCCGATTTCAAAAGAGCCCGGTAAAAATGGGAACTTGAGGATCAAGTTTGATGTCAAGTTTCCATCAAGACTTAGTGCAGAACAAAAGTTGGAATTGAGGCGGGTATTGGGCAGGTCAGCTGAGTAATGCTGGGTTTAATGAAAATGGTAGGATTTGTGGTTAATTAAGTGTATATAGTTTTAACATTTTGGACTGAATGTTTTTGTGAATAGTAGGAAAAAAGAACCTTTCTTTTGTGTTTTTTTTTTCTTCTTTTTGGAGCATTTGGCAGTATGTAGTTCTGACTTAACAGCTGATTCAGCTGTGAAACATAACATCGGTTATGTGGAATGGAATCTGTAAATAATAATAATGTCCTTTTTACTTTGGAAGATGGATTCCGATTGTGTGCGTATGGTCTTACTGCTTAGTTTTGTGGGGATTTTTGTTTGTTTTCACATAGCAAAAGCTTGAAAGGCATTCTAACATACTTTTGGTGGAATTTATTTTTGCATATGTTTGAATAAAATGAGGCTAGTTGAACTCATTGCAAATTAGGTAAACCTTCACTAGAACAAAATCATACAGTAGACTTCTGAAATTTTGGTGTTAATTTAGACTTCTCAATAATTTTAAAAGTATCGAGGTATTTATTTGAGATTTTAAAAAGTCTTACAAAATCTTGAAGTATTTAACTTATTTGAGACTAGTATTTCTTAATACTTTTTAAGATTTGTTGGGATTTGTAAAGAAAAAAACATATACGAAATCTCAATTCAAATCTCACCTAGAGACTTGAGATTTCATAAGAATCTTCCAAAATCTAAAAATCTCAAATCTAAAAAAGTCTCTAAATGTCACTCGAAATCCCAAACGAATACGAATCTCAAGCAAGATTGTTATTATTTAAGCATGGATTACATAATATAACACAGCTACACAAAGTTTGCTTCACAAATCATAGCTGGAGAAGCTGATGAGCTGCTTTGTGTTGGTTGATTTATCAAATCTTGTGGCTGTCAATTTGGGGTATAATCAATGACCCACTTGGAGTTGGGAGTATTATTGATGCATTATTGATCTCTTTAGAACCTGTGTTTTTCAATCTTCTTGAGAAGGTCCTCCTTTTTGGCCCCAACAACCTTGTCCACTTCTTTCCCTTTCCTAATCAGTAAAAATGTCGGCATTGCATGTACTTCAAAGTCTTGCGCTACATCCTGTTTGTACAGTTGATAAACCATTAATATCGAATACAGTAATCGAAACACAACATTATTCGTGCAGCGTTTGTGAAAAACTTTTTGCTTTTAAAAGAATCTGTTTATAGCGGCAAAAGCAAAAAGTAGTTTGAAACGAAGATCGTACATATAACTCATCAACATCAATCTTGATGAACTCGATATCTGTATACTTTTCAGCAAACTCATTCACAGCAGGCTGAATGTACTGACAGGGCTTACACCAAGAAGCTGTGAAGTCGATGATGATCTTCAACAAAACAGAATCATACTTGTCAGAAAATTTCTCATATAGAAGTTAAAAGATTGAGCTTTTAGCAATGTGGTAAATTATAACAGAGAGCTTACAAGTTTTGAGGTTTGTTTAGACGCCTCATAATGGAATTTCCACTTAGATGAGGAGTGAAATGCAATAACCTGGCCCTTCTTTGTTGGTGGTAATATATTGGTTTTTGCTGGTATTATCACCCTGTTATCATCAACACTTGAAACATTAGCCCCCATTTTGATTTTTGATTTTTATTTTTTCAACTTGTTTTGTTTTGTCGACAACTTGAGTACTAAAGGCTTGGTGGTAAATGCTTTATATAGTACTTTCTGCTGCAGCAATCTTCTCTGTTTCTTTTTGACATTTACCTGTCAGAATATATTCATTCAGCCGGCTTTATTCAGTTATTCGGTAGACCACTTGCCTTAACTATGTAGCTATGCTACTATAATTACTAGAAAAGATGAAAAAGTACTACCATCTTTACATGAGATCTTTTGAGGCCATTTCTGTACCGTTTAATAAAAGCTTGAAGCTTCCAACTTTAATATCGATTGGTCCTATAAAATTCATTACCAGTAGGTCATAAAACAGACCCATGACAAAATCTAGGAACAATATCAGCTAAAGCATCAAATTGGTGATGAACAGCCACAACTTTTCTTTTTTTCTTTTTTAATACGAAGACTTTTGACGATTGTAAGCCATTTCTTGTGCAGGTTTAGTCGGCAATTCAATATTTGACGATAAATGGGTTTGGGTAGATTTATCCGAAAAGCTAGCTCAAACTGAGAGAGTGCCTAACCAACACTTATACATAATAACACCACATAAACTATTAATGTGGGGCCAAAAATAATTTCTAATGCTCGTCTTCAGGCACATTGTGGCAAATCAAATGGGTCAGATCCAAACCCAACATCGCCTCTGACCAAACAAACATGTGTGCTTTCATACTACGGTAAATGGGTTTGGCTAGAGCACGCCTAAACATGGCCACGGGCCTACCCGGCACGCAACCGGCCCGGATTTCGCCCAGTTCGTTGAACCGGAACCTTGGCCATGTGGGTCGGTTCCGATTCTTAGTTTTTTTTTTTGTTATTTTTTTTCCCCGACGGTCCGAGTCGGGCCGCGGGTCGGTCCCGGCGTCCTTTTGTAATTTGTTTTTTAATGGGCCGGGTCGGGTCTGGACTGGCCGTGAGTCGCCAGGTCACCGACCCGCCGATCTAGGGCCGGTTCATTGAACCGGTCCATAGAAATGGCACGGGCCATCAAATTGAGGACCGTTGACCCGGTGGGCCGGGTTGGACCATCAAATTGAGGAGCGTTGACACGGTGGGCCGGGTTGGGCCGAGTCACGGCCCGTCATTTGGCCAAGTCTAAGCACACCTCCAAAAGTTAGCTCAGAAATAAAGAGGGTGTCCGACTCACATTTATACACAATAATAGTCCAAAAACTTCGACCAATTGAAAATTTCCAAAAAAGTATCTCTTTCAAAAAATCTTTTCCT